CCCAGAGGGTCCCCTACGTCCTGTCCAGAGTGATCCCTGAGCAGAGCCAAGGGTAAGCTCTGAAGCACTACTGGGTGCGTCCTCCTCCCAAAACTAGAAAATAGGAGGCCATTCTCCAATAGGCTCTTTGGTAAACTCATTTCTTTTTCTGTTTTGAGACCATACCGGATGCTGGGGATCAAACCGGGGTCAGGCGTGTGCAAGGCAAGTGACCACCTCCTTAGTTTCTCTTAAGCAATAAAAAAAGAAATTAAATAATTTTATTATAGATTGCTAACACTTTTAGTAGATATGAAAGCTTTAACAATATAAAGGCTGAAAATGGAGAAAATCAAAGGTACCTAAGAGCATCTTTTTTTTTTTCCTTTTTTGTTTTTTGGGTCACACTTTGGCAATGTCAGGGGTTACTCCTGGCTCTGTACTCTAGAATTACTCCTGACCATATAGGATGCTGGGGATCAAACAGGGGTAGGCCTCATGCAAGGCAAATGCTCTACTCGCTGTACTATTGCTCTGCCCCCTTAGAGAGCATCTTTAAGGCACTAACTCCAAAACATAAAAAACCTAAAGTCAAGATATCCCACATTTCAAGAAACCTCAACGCTGGCATTAAAGACCCCACAGAGGTAGTGACAGGAAGGCAATGTGCATTTCTGACATCCCTGAAGTCAGAAACAAGAATAGAAATATTAAGGTTTTTCCTCTGGGAGGGGGTGAGATTTGGAACAACAACAACAAAAAAAAGTGAAGTCTAAAATCCCTGTATTAATACTGATACCGTAAAAGCAGCGCTATCCATGGTTCTGGTTCTGGGGCCAGGCCCAGTGTTGTGCTGTGCTCAGAGTTGCCAGGAGACCCTCAGTGGCGCTGAGATCAGACCCGGGCTCAGCCTACTGTGCTCTCAGTCTCCACAGCAGCTTCAACTCTCTTTATTTTTGGTTTGGGGGCCACAGCTGGCTGTGCTCAGAGCTGACTCCTGGCTCGGTACTCAGGGGTCACTCTGAACGGGATCTGGGGGACCATACGGGATGTTGGGGACCGAACGAGGGTCGACCAGAGCACTCCACACTGTCCTATGGCCCTGGCCCCAACAGCTTTAAGAGGAGGCGATCATTCTAGGCTCTAGTTCCCCAGCTCAAGTGCGAACTTTAATTCAGGCCAACCCTGCTAGGAAGCCATTTGGAATGCCCTATCCCAGACCCAGAAGCATGTCCCCAGCTTCCCGAGCTGATCCAGAAGGCATGGAAACCATAAATAACATTGCCATGCATGTATTCCATATTCAGCTTCAATTACAAGTTATCTCTAGCTAGTGTTCTCTCCAAGGCAGTGCAACTGGAGATCGCGTTCCTTCTCTTTGGGACGCTAAAGGATCTAACCCAAGTTAATAAAAACGAATACCTTTTCGCCACCATTCCTTTTAATACATTCCCCTTTTCTTCTTTGTCTCCACCTGTCTTGATTTCCAATCTCGCAGAGGTTACTAAAAACGAATCGGGTTGCATTAGAGAGGGTCCATCTGTTGGGGGGCCACATCTGGCAGTGCTCAGGGCTTGCTCCTGGCTATGCGAGGCTCAGAGAACCCGAGAGTGCTGGGGACTGGACCCAGCTGCCTGTGTGAAGCCCCTTCCCTGCGGTTCTATGGTTCCAGCCTCTGGATACATTTTTTTTCTCCTGTCGTGGGGGCTCCTCCTCAGAGTGCCTAGGAGGCATTGGTGGCCCTGACTGACCTCCTGCTCCATCTCGCCCTCTCTCAGACAGACTGTTCAGGGTCCGAACGAGTCCTCTCCAGAAAGAACAGTTTCCCCAAACCACAGGAATTCTGGAAGCGCAGGAGGGAGCATGGGACAGGAACCCACCATCCTCAACCATTTCCCTACCCCAGAAAGGGAGTTGACCAGGCCTAGATCTCTTCTGCAGTTAACACCTCCAGGCCCTTAACGAGGAGAAAAGCTGAGGCTGGTGTGTGCACTAAGAACACACAAAGCACAGTCGAGAGCAAAGACAAAACCCATCCGCAATAACAGCTGGTCCCTCTGCAGCGCTGGCTCTGAGGTACACAAAGCAGTGGGTGTCGGCATCCGGGCCAGGAAGGGGCTCGGAATGGAAGAGCAGCATCACCTGGAGAAGCAAATGCCCTGATTTCCTCTGCACCATGACAGGGTCCTCCACTGCCTTTCCCCTTGTCCTCGACAGCCCAGAGTAATCGATCAATCAATCTCTGATGGTCTTGGGCACTCACTACTCAAGCCCATGGACAAAACCTAGCAAAGGTCGCAAGGAACACTGTAGCACTATCCCCTCCTTCATCAATTTGCTCGGGCACCAGTAACGTCTCCATTGTGACACTTGTTACTGTTTTTGGCATATTGCCACGGGGAGCTTGCCAGGCTCTGCCGTGGGGGCGGGATAGCCTTGGTAGCTTGCCAGGCTCTCCAAGAGGGATGGGGGAATCGAACCCAGGTCGGCCGCATGCAAGGCCAACGCCCTACCCGCTGTGCTACTGCTCCAGTCCAGGTGGCAAGTAACCAGGTTAATTTCAAAACTGGTATTTTGGCCATTAAGCCTCTAAGAGCTAATTCGGTTTGTGAAATCTGATTTCGAGAGCTGTCGCGCAGTCCATTTTGCACTCCAAAGGAGTCTGTGCTCTGGAAAACTGCCTCGCTAATCAAGGTAAACAGAATTATGTTAACTGTCAGGTTTTACTCCAAATTAAAAATGTATGTCTTCTTCGTAATTGCTAATTAAGAAAACTGTATTCCGGTCAGTCAAGTGTTTACTTGGCATGACTCCCCTAAGTTTCTTCTAGTTTATAACAAAGCAAGCAGCGAGCAGAGCTGGAATGATAAGGGACCAACTTCAAAGGCAGCATCCTCTGGGACTATGACCTTCTCACAACCTCCTGCCAGCCAGTCTTCTTTTGAAAAAAGAAAAAAAAAAGACAAGTTCACACACACACACACACACACACACACACACAGGTCCCTGATTTTAAGACTCTGATACTATGACCTTCTCACAACCTCTTGCCAGCCAGTCTTCTTTCGAAAAAAGAAAAAAAAAGACAAGTTAACACACACACGACAACACACACACACACACACACACACACACACACACAGGTCCCTGATTTTAAGACTCTGATACTATGACTTTCTCACAACCTCTTGCCAGCCAGTCTTCTTTTGAAAAAAGAAAAAAAAAGACAAGTTAACACACACACACACACACACACACACACACACACACACACACACACAGGTCCCTGATTTTAAGACTCTGATACTTCTCACTTCTTTGCCAAGACACAGTGAATACCTATAAGCTCTGTTTAAGGCTGACCCTGAGGGAAAGAGTAATTTACTCATCCCAAATGAATATAAAACGACACATCATGCTTAGCATTCAATTCCCACCCCTCCTTTCCTTTCCTTATAAAAATTCCACGTGCCGGGGGCAGAGATAGGACAGAGGGCAGGGCACCTGCCTTTCATGGGACAGACCTACGTTCGACCCCTGGCACCCTCTATGATCCCCAGAGTCTCCCCAGGAGTCATTTCTGAGTGCAGAGCCAGGAGTAAGTCCTGAGCAGGGCTGGATATGGCCCCAAAATAAAAAAATAATAACAATAAAACAAAACAACAAAAGAATGGTTAGAAAACCTCATTAAAAGGCTTAAAGAGGGGCTGGAGAGATATTTCAGTGGGTAGGGCTCATGTCTTGCATGCAGCCAACCTGGGTTTGATCCCTGGCGCCCCATATGGTCTCCTGAGCCCAGCCAGGAGTAGTTTCTGAGTGCAGAGCTAGGAGAAAGCCTTGAGGAGGCTGGAGCGATAGCACAGTGGGTAGGGCGTTTACCTTGCACGCGGCCAACCCGGGTTCGATTCCCAGCATCCCATATGGTCCCACGAGCACCGCCAGGAGTAAATCCTGAGTGCATGGCACTGCTCTGTCAGGCTCCCAAATCAAAACAAACAAGCCAGTGGGTCACAGAGCTTGTACGGTAGGGCACTTGTCTCGCATATGGTAGATCTGGCACTCCACATGGTCTCCAAGCCCTGCCAGAAACGATCCCTGAGCAGAGCCAGGAGTAAGCCCTTAGCAATGCTGGGCATGGCCCCAAAACCGAAAAAAGTGGAAAAACCAAAAAAAAACCCTGTAAGCTTACAGAAAGGCACAATCAGAAAAAGCCACAGAACCTTATGAAATTAAGAGCTGCTATTAAAGTATGACATTATCTAAATAAATGTTCGGAAGCAAGTTGCTCTACCAGCTGACTTACACTCCTTCCTCTCAGTTCTATAAAATCAAGCCAGAGCAAAGTGTGTCTCCAGAGACCAGACCGTTTGCTAAGCCCAGAGGCCCCCTCTTGGCCACTTGGAGCAAGAGGAAGCACAGCCCGGAGGAATTTTGAACTTATAGACGTTTCTCCCACATAAACAAGTTTTCCTTCTTTTCCAGTTTTCGAAATCTCTGTTTTGGTTTCTTAAAACGGCATCTGAGCTTAGGACACCATAGATGCAGACACAGTGAGGCGAGCAGAAAATCTGTTTTCAGTGGAATCAAGGCCGGTGGGAAGACCCGCTTATCTGGAAGCAGCCGCGAGTCCTTCTCTGCCCAGAGCTGGCGTCTAGCCGCCCAATTAGTTTTGTTTTGTTTAACAGGTGCACACGAAAAATATAAGGCACGTCTTCAGGTAACTTGCTGGTCTGCTGGTAAAAAGCTCTGGCTACGTTCGTCATCATCAAGCCTGGTGCTAGGAAGTCGGCTACTTAAAAAACAACCGATGCACACATGCAGCATTATTTGACCTCTAGTTTCAAAGCACTGACAGCTCGAGCAATTTGGTCCTTACTCGTCGGGCCCGTCAGAAGAGGCCCCTAACCTGGCCTTCTGGTTCACAGTGGAGCGGCACCAAGCCCCGACCAGCCGTCTCCTCGAGGCACTCTGGGTTCCCCTGCAGGAAGCGGGAGGGAGGCTGAGACGGCCGCGGCGGCCTGTTACGAGGAAACGGCTTCCACGGGCCCCGCCGCTGTCCCGGGCATCCCCGGCTTGCTCTCTTCCTCTTCCTTCTCCGTCACCACCACGGTGCTGACCTCAGTCCCCTCCTCGACCACAGCGAAGTCCGCGCCGTTGGGCTGCCGGCAGGCCATGGCCTCGAGCCGGAGCCGGTACTGCTCGGCTTCCTGCTCCTTCCTGAGCAGCTGGTGTCGGTACTCCTGGGCTCTCCGGTTGGCCTCCTGGAGCTGCCGCTGGAGCAGCTCCTTCTCGGCGCCCACCTGGAAAAGCGGGCCGGGTTACCGTCCGGGGCGGGGGGAGACGGACAAGGGTGAGGCTCATGCCTGGAAGGACGGCTTGGGGACCGGGAGCAGAGGCAGTAGCAGGGCACGTGCCTGCGCGCGCGAGACGCTCCCGCAGTGCGAGGGTTATTACCTTGCTCTCCACGCTGCTCGTGGGCACCTCCGTGAGCCGGGCTTTCTTGGTGGACGGCCACTTCTCCATCGCCGCCTCCTCTCCAGCGACAGTCGCCTCTGCAGCCTGACTGGCAGGCACCGTGAGAACTACAAGCCAAGGGATGCCCATCGGAAGAGGCGGATTAGGTAGGAAAACAGAGAGCTTTTGGGTTTGAATCGGGAAATGGACTGAAAAACGCTCTTTCTTTCTTTCTTTTTTGCCCCAGTTTCACACCTGGCAGGGTTCGGGGGACCCTTTGTGGTGCTGGGGATTCAACCCCAGTTAGACAAGTAAACAAGAGTCTGGCCTGCTGAAATCTCCAGCCCCTTCCTCCTTCTTTTTGGGGGCTACACCTATCAGTGCTTGGCGTTGCTTTTGGCTTGGTGCTGGGGGCTGACTGGACCCTCAGCATAAAAAGCATAGAACTAGGCCTTACTTCTTATTTTTCACATTCCTTTGTATTCTGAAATCAATAAGTCATGGCCTTGTAGAAAGAGACAGAGAAACACTAAAAACGGTCTCAAAAAGGAAGAACAAGGGCTGCTGAACAGTGAGCACTGCGGGTAGAGCATTTGCCTTGCACAGCTGACCTGGGTGTGATCCCTAGAACCTCTTATGGCCCCACAAGCCTCACCAGGAGAGATTCCTGAATGCAGAGCCAGGGGTGAGCCCTGAGCACTGCCAACCAAATGTGGCCCAAACACAAAAAAGGAGAGTGAACTTTTTTTTTTTGTCATCTTTTTGGGTCACACGTAGTGATGCTCAGGGATTACCCCTGGTTCTGCACTCAGGAATCATTCCTGGTGGTGCTCAGGGATCACATGGGATGCCGGGGATGGAACTTCCCAGGTTGGTCACGTTCAAGGCAAATGCCCTACTCACTGTACTATTTCTCTGGCCCCAAGAGTAAACATTTCTGTCTTAAAGCCACGCAGGTAGGCCCCAAGTTAAAGCTCCTGTGTAGAGATGTCTGACTGAGCATAGCTTATAAGACTCTGACCAATTTATGCCATGAATAACATATTTCTGCAGGAAGAACTCGACTAAAGATATCTAAAACATTTACATGAACTTCTTGGCAAGGACGAGAGATGGTCCAGAGGTTAACTGTACTATCTCTTGATTACGTACAGTCAATCCTAGTTTGATCTCCTGCCCTGCACACGGCCCACAAGCATCAGCATGAGTGACCTAACACAGAGCCACAAGCAGACAGATGTGAGCCACTCTCCAAAAAAAAAATTAAGGTTTTTTTTTTCTTGTTTTTTGCTTTTTTGGGCTGTGCTATCGCTCCAGCCCATGCCCTTTTAAAATAATAAACAGGGGCTGGAGTGATAGTACAGCGGGTAGGGCGTTTGCCTTGCACGCGGCTGACCTGGGTTCGATTCCCAGCATCCCATATGGTCCCCCGAGCATTGCCAGGAGTAATTCCTGAGCGCATGAGCCAGGAATAACCCCTGTGCATGGCAGGGTGTGACCCAAAATGCAAAAATAAATAAAATAAAAAACAGAGGCCAAACACCCATGAGCGCTCAGGCTCTGAAGGGTCTCACACTAGTGCTCCATGGACAGTGCTCCACCACTGAGCTAACTCCCCACATACACAACCTGCTCGGCTCTGAATCTGGAAGGGCTAGGTCTGATTTCCAGCTCTGTAGAAAAAGGAAAAGTAAAGGGACAGGCTGGCCACTTGCCTTGCACTCGGCTGACCCAGGTTTGATCCCCCCCAGCATCCCTCTGGTCCCCAGAGCTGCATTGGGAATGATCCCAGAGCGCAGAGCCAGCAAGCGACAAAGACCTCTGGGTGTGACCCAAAACCAACCAACCGAAAAAACAAAACAACCTCCACACACACACCAAAAAAAAAAAAAAAAATCCTGTTTCTTGATATAACAGCCATGATAAACATCTTGAGCTACATGCCGCTCCGCTGTACAACTGCCCTGGCCCCCCAAAATACGCTTTTGGTGTCTTGGTGGTATTGGGGAATGAACCCTGAGCCTCACATGCAAGACACCATCTACTACTGAGTTACACGCAGCCACGTGTCTCCTCAGACCTTCAACCTCCCAGAGATCGGGGGTGGGGGCAGGGTCTCCCCCAGCAGAGCTTGAGATCCTGGGGCCTTTCGCAGCGATACTAGGTCCGTTCTGTCATCCTCCAATGCCCTCAGACCTGCCGCCCCTGGTATCCTGAGGGGCTTGGAGCCCTCCCAGGCAGTGCTAGGGACCCAGGAGCCATCCTCAGCGACGCAAGGGCTGGGAGTTTGGGTCTCACGATGCCGCGCTGCTCAGACCCCGGGGTGCTGGGCGACTGTGATGGCAGGAATCAAACTCAGGGTCTGGAGACCTGAAGGCATGTGTTCCAGCCCTCGGAGTCACTTCCTGATCTGACCTCCAGCATTCACTGATTTTTGTGGGGGTCGGGGGAGGAGACCCCCAAAGGGTGCTGGGGCTGTCTCTCCCAGTTACCCTCAGCCAGCCAGGCGGTCTGCTCCAGGCTCACGCCACGGAGAGTGCTACTGGGGCTCCATGGCACTGGGGCTGCCAGGGTCATTCCCGGTGGTAACTGGGGGCTGCCAGGGACATGCCTAGTGATGCCTGGGAGACCGTACGCTGCTGGAAATAAGGGCCTTAGCCCCTATACTATTGCTGCAAGCCACAGTCGCAACGTTCTTGCTGTCCCGAGGACTCAGTAGACGGGCCTCACACACGCAAGGTAAGCACTCATCCAGAGTCGCGTGCTCAGAGCGCCAACTTCCGATACTCAGGAGTTAAACTGGAATAATTGGTTTCCTTCCTTTTTAGGGGGCGGGGGTGGTGGGTGGGGGGAATACATCTGGCAGTGCTCAGGGCAGCTCCTGGCTCTGTGCTCGGTAATCACTCCTGGAGGTGTCTGGGGGAGGATATAAGATCTGGGTTGGCTGCATGCAGGTGCCTTTCCTGCTATTTTATCTCTTCAGCGGCTCCTTCTCTTTTCTTAGAAAAACAACTTCTTATTTAGTTTCTGGCCAACCCCAGTGTAATTCAGGGCTTGTTCCTGGCTCCGTACTCAAGAGTGACCCTGGCAGTGCTCAGGGAACCAAATGTGGCACCAGGGATCTAACCAGAGTCGGCCAAAGTGGCTGCATGAGATGCCAGTGCCCTACCTCCTCGACTACTTCACTGACCCCCACTTACATATTTTTGAAGAAGTAATATATTCATGAGGCAAAAATTAAAAGCCGAGCCAGAGAAAGTACAGGGGTCACAGCGCTTGCTGTGCCCGTCGATCCTCGGCACGGCATCTGGTTCCCTGAGCACCACCAGGAGCGACCACGGGGCCAGGAGTAATGCCAGGACACCGCTGGGGGTGCACCTCCAAATTAAAAGTACATAAAGACACACACAGTGAAAAATCTCTCATCCATCTCCAACCACGAAGTCGCCCTTCCAGGAAGTAACTAATGTCATCAAAGTTATTCCTGTGCGTTCTTTCAGAGACAGTCCCCGATACAGCAGCTGTGTATCCTGTATTGCTGAGGACAGCGATATTCATGTGCCCACCTGTTTTTCAGCTTTGGGGCCGCCCTGAGGTGCTCACAGGGGGCGAGTCGACCCTGGGCTGCCTCCGTGCTAAGCTACATGTAAGGCAAGAGCCCCCCCCGCTCTGGCCCCCCAAAATACATTTTTGGTGTCTTGGTGGTACTGAATCCTGAACTTCACACATACAAGATACGCATCTACTACTGAGTTACACGCAGCCACGTGTCTCCTCAGACCTTCAACCTCCCACAGATCGGGGGGTGGGGGCAGGGTCTCCCCCAGCAGAGCTTGAGATCCTGGGGCCACTGGCTCGCGCCTGAGTTCTCTGCATCCTCTGGTCGCCTTTTGTTGTCTCTGTGTCACACCCAGCGGCGCCCACGTCCTACCCTTGGCTCTGTGCTCAGAGATCATTCCTAATGGTGCTCGGGGGATGCTACGGGGTCCCAGGGATGAAACCCGGGTCTGGCCATGTGCAAGGCAGACACCCTGCCTGCTGAGCCATCTCTCCAAGCTCCGTGCTGCCTGTCTGATGGGCAGGGCCTGTGCTGACCCCCTCGCCTCGCTGCTTCCATGTACTCGCTGTGCTGTGAACAAGACTCCTGGGCACAGGCCTTTTCAGGGGTGGACTGGCACACGCCCTGCTGTGCCCTGGGGATGGCCTGCCCTGCTGTCTGTCACGGTGCTGACGCCAGGCTGACCACCTGCGGCTGGCACCAGGGACTGAAGTGGTCTTGGGCTTGCAGGGCAGGTCGTTTTCACTAAGCAGTTCCTGGAGCCCCTGAAATAGCTTCTGATAGATGGTTTGCGGGCCCAGGATAGAAACTAAAGGGCTAGAGCACATGGTCTGCCAGGCTGGAGGGCCAGAGCTGGTTCCCAACACCACACAGTCCCCTGAATACCGCTGGCAGGGATCCCAACTGAACCAGAAGATGCCCTGGAGCACAGCTGGGTGCACCCCTCCCCCATAAATAAGTAAGCAGGCAGCTCACCTTGCTGTCCATCTTGCATGGTCACAATGAACGGTTGGCCGATGCCTCCCGTCGGGACTGCTGTCTGAATGTTACCCAGGGGAACTCCATCGGTCACTATAGTGATGACTCTCTGGCCGACACCTCCTACCACATGCTGGACTGATGAATTGACAGAATAGCCATCTGTGACTTCCTCCGAATTGACTAGAAAGAACAAAAGAAAAATTTAAATTTCCATTTTAAAACATAAATCCAATTTTGAACTGGAGAGAGAAGGCAGCAGGTAAGACACCTGTCCGGCACGCAGCAGGGGAGGCTTGATCCCAGCACTGCACAGGGTTGCCCCACCAGGAGTGCCCCCAAGAAAACAGCCTGAGCACAGCTGAGTGTGGCCGCAAATGAACAAGTGAACAGATGAACAAGGGAAGGAGCAGAAAGGTGTCCGAGCAGGGGCAGACAGACGGCTCAAGGGTTTGGGGTTCCTGCTCTCCACACAGGTGACCCGGACCCCACCTGCGAGGCACTGCTGGGCGCTGAACACTGCCGTGGAGTGACCCCCAAGAACAGGCTGTGGAGAGCATGCAAGCAAGACCAGATGTGACACCCAGATCAAAAATAAAAATTTAACATGTAGAGGCCAGAAAGATCGTACAGCAGGGAGGATGCTTGCTTTGTAGGCAGCCAACCATGCAGGTTTGATTCCCAGCTACCCCTAGGTCCCCCGAAACTCCACCAGGAGTGATCCAGGTGTGGCCCAAAAACAAAATGTTTGATTCCAGACAGAGGAAAAATATAGAAAGCAAACTGATTGTTTCAAGGGTAAAGAGACTTGAAAAAAATTTAGGTTAAGCTCTTTGCAAAAACAAGCTTTTAGAAGCAATCATGAATTAGAGTAAAAAAGAAAATAGAGTCCACTGGAACAATATTTTATTTTGGGCAGTGCTCAGGGGTCTCTCCCAGTGGGGTTCAGGGAGCCGTGCTTCCAGGAATATGCTCTGCCCTCCAAGTATCCCTCTGCCCAAGAACAGTACTTTCTAAAACGTCTTCACTGAGATACTAATACTTTTCACTACAGATTAGTTATGGGTTGGAGCAATAGCACAGCGGGTAGGGTGTTTGCCTTGCATGGGGCCATCCCAGGTTCGATTCCTCCGCCCCTCCCGGAGAGCCTGGCAAACTACCGAGAGGATCTCGCCCGCACGGCAAAGCCTGGCAAGCTCCCCGGGACGTATTCGATAAGCCAAACACAGTAACAACAAGTCTCACAGTTTGTTGTGAGACGTTACTGGTGCCCGCTCAAGCAAACCAATGAACAATGGGAGGACAGTGCTACAGTGCTACAGGTTAGTTTTAAGTATAAAAGTATGGGAAAAAAAAGGCTGATTTCAATATGAATGAACTTTTTTTTTTTTTTGGCCATGCCAGGTAGTACTCAGGACTTACTCCTGGCTCTGCACTCAGGGAACACTACTGGCAGGGTTTGCGGGGCCACATGGGATGCCAAGAATCAAACCTCAGGCCCAGGGGACCAACAGTAATGCTGGGGACGAAACCTGGTTCAGCTTTGCGCAAGACCAGCGCCCGAGCACTGTGCCTTCACTCCGGCCCTCCCCACCGCCATGAGGATTCAGCCAATGACTGGGGTCTGTTCAATGAGAACACTGAGGTCTTCTTTGCTTCTAAGAAACGGGAGCACTCCACTACCACTGAGCAATTTCAGTACGTCTCATATATACAGTCTCACTTTTTGCAAGACTCTCCTTGTGCCTCTTCAGAGAAACCCACCGTGGTAGTAGGCACTGCTTCCCTTAATGGGACCGAGTGACAGTACACATCAAATCAACACAGCCGAGATGAGGACGCTTGCGTTTGGAGAAGTGATTTACCTAAGAGCAAAAAGCAACGGAGCAGAGCGACGGTACAGCAGGGCGGATGCTTGCTTTCTGCGCAGCTGACCTGGGTTCCATCCCTGGCACTACAATCGGTTCCCTGAGCCTACCAGGAACGATCCCTGAGCGCAGAGTCAGGAGGAAGCACTGAGCACTGACAGGCGTGGCCAAAAACTAAAAATCAATAAATATTTTAAGAGGCAATCAGGGGGTCGATGCGATGGCGTGGAAATGAAGGCACTTGCCCTGCATCTGCTCACCCCAGGGCGATCCACAGCACCACAAACGGTCCACTGAGAACGGCCGGAAGCATCTCCGGAACAGAGTCAGGAGCAGTCCCTGAGCACGACTGGGGGTGGGTGCGGCCCAGCACTCCCCCACAGCGCAAACAGAAAAACCAGCACAAATACAGGTTTCCTAGGGTGCTTTCCTTCTGCCACGCTGCCCACTCATACGCGGCCAAGGATGGATCTTTATTGCTTCTGGCAGTGGGGCCTCATCTGGCGGTGCTCAGGGATCACTCCTGACGGGGCTCAGGGGACCATGCTGGGGACCGAACCTGGGTCAGCCGCATGCAAGGCAAGTGCCTTACCTGCTGTACCACTGCTCCAGCTTCTGAGTAGAGAATTTCGTGATTACTGTCAGTTGGAAAAACATCACTGAGGCTGGAGAGAGAGTAAAAAAAGAAAGAAAAATAGGATTGAATAGGACTGAAGGAATGTTTTCACCCACCGCCCAAATGTTGATGACAGAAAAAAAATCAAAATGATCTCTTTTCATTTGTGGCAGAGCAGATTGCCGGAGGATTCTAGGAGATTCCCTAATGAATGAATACTGAGCCCACTTGTGACCCTCCCCCATTTATATGACGTCCTAACCTTTTAATTATCTGAATAAAAGATCTGAAGCTTGTTTGGGTTTCTTTTTTTTTTCTTTTTGGGTCACACCCGGCGATGCACAGGGGTTACTCCTGGCTTTGTACTCCTGGCAGTGCTCGGGGGACCATATGGGATGCTGAGAATCAAATCTGGGTTGGCTGCGTGCAAGGCAAACGCCCTACCCGCTGTACTGTTGCTCCAGCCCTGATTTGAAACTTGTTTAAATACCAGAAGGTCACTCTTATGTAGAATGTTCTCTGCCACACTCCACTGGAAATGCCAGAACCGTTATCTCCAGAGACGATGAAAGCACACTGACCGCAGTGCCCCGGCCGGGTAGAGGCATGCGTGTCCCTTACTGGGATGCCCAATTCTAGTGGTGCAGGCTGCCATTCTGACTCATTCTACCTCAGCATCAGTCAAAGACACCTGCAGTCCCCCAAATCTGCCAACCTAAGACTAAACATTTCAATCTGAAGTATCTGGAGTCAGGCAAACAAACTAGAAACTACGAGAGACACAAAGGGGCAACTTCATCACTCTCTGGTCTTATCCAGCTAATGAACCAATTATTCTAGTGCTGACTAAATCTATGTTCCTCTTCCTAATGGTTCAAACGAAGCAAATCTGCCAGAGATTTAAAAACCGAAGAAGAGAGGGGAGTTCATCCAGCAAGCATCCTTCCCCGAGCTCTGGATGAACGCGGGGTGGGACTGCGAGCAGCCAAGGCATCACTGCGGCGATGTGGACCAGCTATTTCGTAAGAGGCAGAGGCGGCTCCGTGCAGAACCCAAGCTAACGAAAAATGGCTTAGTAAAGCAAAACCTTAGATCTCCGCTGTCCTCCACTTAATCTTGCTCTTTTTTTTTTTTGCTTTTTGGGTCACATCCAGCGATGCTCAGAGGTTACTCCTGGCTCTGCACTCAGGAATTAATCCTGGCGGTGCTCGGGATGCTGGGAATCGAACCCGGGTTGGCCGAGTGCAAGGCAAACGCCCTACCCGCTGTGCTATTGCTCCAGCCCCTAATCTGGCTCTTTAATTCAAACTGGCATAAACCAATTGCCAGGGGGTTAAATCTGCTTTAAGACTGAACAGTTTGGGGGCTGGAGTGATAGCACAGTGGGAAGAGCGCTTGCCTTGTTTGCCTTTGATTGCCCAGCATCTCATATGGCCAACCGGGGTTCGATTCCCAGCATCCCATATGGTCCCCCGAGCACCGCCAGGAGTAATTCCTGAGGGCATGAGCCAGGAGTAACCCCTATGCAACGCCGGGTGTGAGCCAAAAAGAAAGAAAGAAAGAAAAAAAAAGACTGAACGGTTTTCCCTTTAAGGTGGATTAAAGGGGGCCAGAGGAAAGTACAGCGAGTAGGGTACGTGCCTTGCATGTGGTCAACATGCCCGGGTTTGATCCCAGGCATCCCATTCGGTTGCCGAGCACTGCCAGGAGTGATCCCTGAGTGCAGAGAAAGCTGCTGGGTGTGGCCCCCAAACAAAATAAAACAATTGAAGTAGATTAAAAAAAAAATTCTATGCTCTGTACAGGCTACACGGCGCCCTCACTGATCACTCTGGAGACATACGCATGCTGAGCATTCCGGCCTCCACTCTCTAGGCTGGCCCTGCAGAGCATGAAACATATGAAGCTTATCTCATACCAAGCTAAGCGGTGGTAAGGGAGTATGACCCTTGAGGCTTTATTTAACCCCAGGACCTCGATTTCTCAGAAAGGTAAAGGTAAAAGGTACAAATCTGAAGTTTCATGCCAGGAATATTGCTAGCAGGAGCTACCCTGGGGTCCTCCCTGGCAACACACCACCCTCAGAGCACTGCCAGGTGTGGTCCTGATGGCTACTGAGTGCCACTGCATGTGCTCCCTGCCCACGGGAAAAACAAAAACCACAACAAGGGGCTGGGGTGACGAAACTGAGGGGAGAGTCCTTGCCCTGCATGCAGCTGACTTGGGTTCGATCCTTGCTGAACGTCGTATGATTTTCTGAGCCACGCCAGGAGTTACTCCTGAGAGCAGAGCCAGGAGTAAGCTCTAAACGCCACTGGGTGTAGCCCAAGAAAACAAATCAGCAGTGAAAGCTGAATTCTTGAAAATTCACTTATTGCCTATCAAAGGGCGATACTGAATGACCCATCAGCACTAAATGCCAACAATCACTGGGGCAAGAGATAGTACAGTGGGTAGGGTGCCTGTCTTGCATGTGGAAGATCTGGGTTCAATTCCTGGCACCCGCAGATGGCCCCCCAAGCCCTGCAAGGAGTTATCTCTGTGCACAGTATTAGGAGTAAGCCGTGGCACTGCCAAGTGGCCCAGAAACCAGAAAAAGAAAAAAGAAAGACACTGGGGTCCCAAAAGATAGTAGAGCAGGCAGGGAACGTGCCTTACACTCAGTCAACCTGGGTTCAATCTGGGTAGGTCTGGGTTCA